TGTATTGTAGACACCAGACGAAGCAATGGTTTATCCAAACTTCAACAAATAATGCAATATATTTCTTAATCCGTTTGTGAGAAAGCATGAAAAGAGCCAAGAGACTTTAATTTTGGGCTTCAACAATCATAATTATACGAATTGTATATACGAATTCGAATTAGCCAATAAATTGGCTATCGTCTTTTCAATATAAATTATTGCAATATTCAAATTGCAATATCAATGAATTGCAAAAATTCAACTAAGTAAAAAAGAATACTATGGAATAACCTACTCAAAAAATAGATATTCTCAAATAATAAATAGTATTCATGTTAATATTTCATATTATTATTATATGTGTCCCTTTGTTTAGAAGATTCTATGTCTAATTATTCAAAAAATTAGATTGATTGATACGAGTTGATTTCCTATTACGATGGATGGAAGAAAGAATGGATAATCCAATAGCTGCTTCAGCAGCCGCAAGGGCTATAACAAAAATTGCGAAAATGTCTCCTTTTAATTGGCGGCTATCAAATAGATCAGAAAATGTTACGAGATTTAGATTAATTGAATTCAGTATAAGTTCAAGGCATATTAGAGCTCTAACCATGTTTCGGCTTGTGATCAATCCATAGATACCAATCGAAAATAAATAGACACTCAAAAAAAGTACATGCTCAAACATCATTAACTGCAATGCAGCTAGCAAGCAAGCATGGTCCAAGAGCAGTAAGGTTTAGCTTTTTGTGCTACTTGGCTATGGCTGCTTGCATATGATACACAACCGACGCTCTCGATCGTGGTGTACCTTTCTCGGCCATGCATGTCGGCAGGCATGGTCCCTCCCTGCAGATGGTGGCATTCACACAATCACACACACATACTCATGCACTGTGACATCCAAGCATTTGCACTGTTCTTCTGTTTCATTCACCTCTTCATCTGCAGAAGAAAAAAAATAGCATGATGATTATTACATAATCTATGTCTAGATTCGTAGCCAGAAGTTAGGTTTTTTTCTAGGACGGACAGATGCAGCATATATTAGCCAAGATTCTCACATCTTGCTAGCTATAGATAGTACATGTACTGACATAGCAAAGCATGACAAAATTCTTAATCCTCAACAGCAACATGCAGGATATATGCATGCATGGGTGACGCCGCAGTACGTACCTAACCTAACACGCGAGCAGAAGGGGATCAGCAGCAGACAAGCAGGCAAGCAGAGGGCATAGAAAAATGGCTGAAAAGGAGAGTGAAAGTACTGAAGAAATCAGGTCATCACACACACACTCAAAATCAGGGGCAGCATATGCAGGGACCCCACATGTCCATGACACAAACACCTCATCAGCAGCATGCATAGCAGAAGGCTTTTATTTTCTCTCTCTCATTCATTCATCGATTCTGCACAAAACCAGGCACGCATGTATGCAGGGATATCTTTTCTTGATTCATCTCCTCTTTTTTTTTCCTTCTGCAACTTTATGTATTATCACACACACTGCCAATTGATTGATAGTATATTGTTGTGATCGATTCGATTGTGCTGCCTGCCCCATGCCTTCAACTGCATGATGTTGCAGGCTGGAGATCTTTGGACTGTTTCAGCTAGCAAGCGATGATGCTCTTCTGAGCTACTCCTAGCTGAAGATCACTGAACACTGATCAGCAGCTGATCGATGCATGATTCTGAAGCCGGTCACTCAAACTGCAGCAGTGACATGCACACACAGTGTGTGCATGTCACTGCTGCAGTTTGACACACATGTGCATCAACAGTTGCGACTGCATCAAGAGATATGATAAGAGAGACGCATCTGCAATCTGTGAATGCAAATTGCTCATTTCTTTTTTTCCAGTGAGATTATGGCTTGCAGCAGAAAGCATGCAAAGGTATGGAGGAGGCCAGTGGGTTCAGTCATCAGTGGGCTGCGTCGTGTGTGCCCATGCGTGCAACTGCACAAGTGGTAGTGATAGCCTTTACTTACTCTAAACAGTGGCAGCTACTTGCTGGTCAGGTTGATCAGCCAAAAGATTCCCTTCAGATTCAGGTGTGTGTTTCTGACTTGGATGAGTCAAAGTGCACACAGATTATAGATCGATATATATGCTGCTGATCAGATCCCTAGCTGCAATGCTGCATGATACATTGATACTCTCCATCCATGGCCAGCTCGATCCTCACCATGCCGACCTCTCTAGAGACATTGCTGTGCCACTGTCATGGCATATTTGCTTGGCATGTGCCTTCATTCAAGAATCGATTGGATCCCCATTTTTGTTTTCACAAAGACATAATAATTCCATTTTCATAATTGATGTGGTGTTTCTATAAGAGCTTCAGAGCTATTCAAGTTTATTTCCTCCAGGAAATGCAGTTCCAAATTGGAATTCTTTTCAAGAATCAAACTCACTTATGCGTTTTCCTTTTTTTTTCAGACAGAGATGAAGGGACTGTTCAGATTGTAGCCAAAATAAATCTTACCAAATTTTGGCAATTCTAAAATTTTGGTAAGTTGGCAATATTGCCAAAATTTTGGCAGGATTTCTTATGTATTTACTAAATTTGGCAACAAACTAAATGTAGATATTTTTTTGGCAACTTTACCAAAAATGAAATGGTTGAAAATGGCATCAATCTGAACAGCCTTGAAACTGTGCCTTTTTCAAATGCACATGAGAAGCCCAGAGTTAGTGCTTGCATCAAAAGTTAGAGGCCCATTAGGGTTTTGAGCAGAGTAACCTGTCCAATAACAAAAGGAGAATCGGACCAATGGACAGGCCCAACAATGGATTCCAAATGGGCCAGATGATTTCGGCCCATATAGGACTGCAAGCTGGGTCTTTCTCATTTTCAGACAAATGTAGCAGGGACATTATCCTCTTCTTTCTCCAATTCTCCTGGATGACACAAAAAGATTACAGCCTTTATGAACAGGTGGACATAATGTTGATCAGATGCAACTATAAACTAGAGTTCTTCAGAAGTTGAGGTGTGTATATTGCCTCCTGGTTTTTACTACATAGCCTACTTGAGCTCTGAAAGATGTGTGTTTCCTTGTACAGAGACATGAAGTTCAGAAAGTTCACTTAGGCTAGCCATCTAGTTCTTGCAATTCCGTGTCAACTTTGTGCACACACCATTAAATATGTAAAAGTTGTAAAGTTAATTAACAAAAGTGTTCTCAAACCATGCAATGTTTAAAGCCAAAATCTACCATTTGGATCTTTAACTTTCTACTGCTTACTAGGCTAACCAAAGCAGCTGCACTGAGCTTCAGAAATTTTCATCGAACATACATAGAGCATAGTCAAGCATGCAAATGTGCAAAGATGGGAGGAAAGGTGAAATTCTGCATAGTTTATATCCTCGCATTGTCTTGCATGAATCTTTCTTTTTCTTGCTGCCAACTGTATGAGATGAGTATATACTAGAGCTCTGACATAAAGTTTGCATGCTGCTCATTCTTTTCTGGTCAGGAAGTGCAAGAGAAGGAAAAGAAAAAGGTGGAATTTGGTCTCATGCATGTATGTGTGTGTAAAGTTGTGAGCTTTGCTTCTTTTAAAGCCTGGAAAGAGCTGCAATTTGCATGCATGGTTTGGTTTTCTGAACATTGTGGGTTGGTCCACATGTATGCCTGCATTGGCATAAGAAACCTAAAGGCCATTATATATGTTCTTCAACCACCATTATGTGTTGCTAATTTGGGATGCATCATCATGGTCCTGTCTCAAAATTACCCGCAAATTAAGCCACTTGAATAATCATTTCCTTTGCTGAACATAATCATTTTGCTCATTGTACAAATCAATTATTAGCTTTAACTAATCCAATGCACCTTCATACAATCTCACCTGCAGATGCATCTGAAATGGCACATATGGATCAATGAAAGCTTCTTATCTCAGTGAAATATTGCCATTATCTGAAAAATTACTTAATTAGTGGCTTAGATTGCACTGTTGATCTTGTTCGTTAGCTCTTTGCAGCTTCCTTTTCAGCCTTAGTTTGCTTCTTCAGAAATCGCTCGAGATAAAGCCCAGCTGCTTCTTTGGTTGCGAAAACTTTTAGCGGCGCGAGCTTTTGCCTGAGAGGAAGGAGACAGCAACGAATCATGCGCATCATCGCGCGTTTTCCTGCAAAGCAGCGCCGTCGCTGCCGATCATTTCATATCTTTTGCCGGACACGGAATCATTCTGCTTGATCCTCTCGCTGTCTGTCTGCTTCCTCTCCCAGTGATCGATGCTAGCTGCAAGAAAGAACCTATAGCTGCCCATGCAGCTATCTGAATCTGAATTCTGAAAGGATCGATGCGTTTTAACCCAATCGAGTTCTCTCTCTGGAAAGCGGATGCATGAATTCATGCATGCATGCATGCGCATGGATTCAGTCAAGCTCGACATTTGACTTGTGTTCATGATGGGCAATGAATCAGATGAACAGACCTGGTCTCTTAATTCTGAATTTTGTGTCCACAGGTGAGTGACTGATCAGCAGGGAAGAAGAACACAAGGGTCCCAAGGAGAAAGATGGTTTCAGGAGGAAGCAACTCTGTCATATGCAGCTAATGAGTGTGCTTTAGGCTCTACTTTTGCTTAATGCTTAGGTCTGATGCCGAGAGAAATAGTTAGATTCTCTGATAGATTATTAGATACTGAGTTGATGTGCTAATTAGTTATGTATTGTTATTACAAAAGTATTAATATACCATGAGTCACAGTTAGATCTGTTGGATGTGGATCTTGGAATGTTTCTCAACTAGCTAGTGAAAGAAGGGATTGTTGTGATTCTGCCAAAGATTTTAGTGGAATTGTTTAGCAAGATGGTTGCTGCATCTGCAGTCACAACTTGCAGCAACTTTTAGCCCCATCAGTTTACAGCTTTAAGCAAGCTCCACATGATTTGCAGCATGATCATGAGCTGCTCCTGAGTTGTAGTGTTTCAATTAACACTGACCTGTTTCTACTTGACCATAGCTGAACTTGACACTGGACTAATTATAATTAAGCAGTTTGATCTGTCTCTGTCTGACTGTCTGATAGCTTTTCCATGAACACTGGATTGGCCCTGGTCTTTTTAGGATTTGAAATTTATAATTATTGTACCTCACTAATTTCCTAATCTATCCTCACAATTGTGTGCTAGGCACCAGAATTAAAGAATCAATTAACAAGAACACAGAATAGATGTTAGTCTGAAGTGGCAAAGTCAGTGGAAAATTTTCTGTATGATAAAAAGTGAGGGTGGATTGGAATGAGGCTATGGATCAACCACCATGATGTGGTGTCTGCAAAGAGGATGGCAAAACATAATCATCCCATCTCACATGCTTCCCCTCTCCAATAAAGTATTACTACCAGTTAATTGATTACTCTCCTATTGCACCATTTGTATTATCAGATAACACTACAACAGCTAAGCAGACCAACACAAAAGCTGTTAGCTAATTTACTTGACAACTAATACAGTATTACACTGGTTTTAACTTTTTGGCCTCTATGTGCATATAACAATCCATGTTCTACATGTGGTAGGATTAGCAGCTGTTGCACATGATTGTGTTAAACTGAGTACTAAATCATGCACCAAGACCTTTCCATAATCTTTGACTGGCATGTAATTCAACAGTACATATATACTTGATCAGAATGCCCTGATCATCACAAATACTACACTGGTCTGAACTGTTTGGTGTGAAATTCTATTTTGACCTAATTAATTGATTTCCATCTCATTTAATTTGCTGCAAAATCCAATGCGAGATTAGTAGTACTTGTTCGTACTATTTCTGTACCTGCAGAGAGTGACACAGATCATAGTATCATACAGTAGCAGCCATGAATTTATATATATATAAGCATCCAGTGCCCAAAAGAATCAATCTATCTTTCTTACCTACTTGACTTGCCCTTGTCTCTGTATAAAGAGATCTCAAGCTGAGCTCAGCTCACACACACATTGCCTTAGCTTGCCAGCTTGTGTCATCGGCGGCGGCGGCGGCGGCGATGGACGAGTCGTGGAGGTGCACGATGGGGTCGGTGCTGCCGCGGCAGAGGTCGTCGGACCACCACGCCGGCGGCGGCGGTGGCGGCGGGCGGCAGAGCCTCGCGCCCGACGACTTCCGCGACGTGTTCGGCGGGCCGCCGCGCACGGTGCTCCTCCGCAGCTTCTACGGCGGCGAGGCCGCCGCCGAGAGCTACCACTCCCCGGCGATGGCGCAGCAGCAGCACCACCACGTGTACTACGGCGGCGCCGCCGACGCGTTCTGCCGCCGGGGCGCCGCGGCGGCGGCGGCCGTCGTGCCCACCGAGGAGGGCTTCTTTGACGACATCTTCGGCGCCGGCCGCCACGCGAGGTCGAGGTCGAGGTCGACGAAGTCGTCGTCGGTGGTCAGCTCCGACGAGTTCGGCGCCGGCCCCGCCTTCTACCGGCCGGCGGCCGCCTCCTCCGGCTGCCGCGGCGGCGACGCCACGCTTTCCTCCTTCGCTTCCAAACTCAGGTGTGCATGCGCGCCACGTGAAGCTACATGCACATATTGTGTTCATCACGTTAATGCCAAATTAAATCACACGCACTAATTAACCAGATTAATTAGCGTAAGCACACTAGTAATTCTCAAGAACATTGTGCGTACGTGCAGGCCGATCGCGATCCCGTCGCGGCGGTACGACTCGTCGCCGCCGTCGACGGCGTCGACGAGATGCGACTACCAGAGCAGCTTCACGTGCTCGACGGCGGCGTACCCGGCGTCGCGCTGCTACTACTACGCCGGCAGGACGGCGGCGACGAACCACAGCAGCGCGGCGAGCAGCCACGCGGCGGCGCAGCAGCACCGTCACCACCACCGCGGCGGCGGCGGCTTCTGCTGCTTCACGTCCAACCCGGAGACGACCAGCAACGGGCACAGCTTCCGGCGGACGCGCGCCGGCGGCAGGAGGGCGCGGTCGCCGGCGGCGACCGACACCGACACAGCGACCGAGTGGTCCCAGTACTCTCACGCCGACTACGGGTACTACTACTCGCCGCCGTCCGCCGCGTCGTCGTCGGCGTTCGGCAACCCGCTGCCGAGGACGCCGCGGCGGCTGGAGGAGGTGGTGATGGAGGTGAGGGAGAGGGCGCCGTTGCTGATGGACGACGACGGCGGCGGCGACATCGACAGCGTCGGCGCCGCCGCCGTGGACGAGGCCATTGCATGGGCCAAGGAAAGATTCTGGAGCCAATCCTAGTAGTAGAAGATGGCCAATTTCAATCCACCAATTCATGTTATGCCCTTTGTAAATTGGAATCACAAATTCATTCTTATTAGCTTAGATGCCTAGAGATGATTGATGAAAATGTGGGTCACATCAATATATTTTGTAATGCGCCTAATCTTGGAAGATTGAAAACAATCAAAGTTAAGCATACAAGATTTCTCTTCAGAAGCAACAAGAGAAGTGTAGGGAAACATATCGAAATCGTGCTCTCATGATAGGAGAGCCGATCCATTTTCCTCGTATATTATGTTTCAAGCTTCCACTTATATGGCTACAGTGCTACAGTCTGGTGATAATTGCAATCAGTAATACTAATGCACAGATTTTGCTGCAACCCGTAACTAAGAACACTAGAGCTGCAGAGTGGGGGTGATCCTGAGGAATACCGATCCATAGATTCAGATCCTAATTTTGATCCACGCTACACAAAACTTGGACAATGAAAAAGAATGCAATGACCAAAGTGTACAAAAATTTCCATGTGGAACACCACGCCTGTGGCGAAAATCAGCCTTATCTCCAGTTCTCCACCTTGTGAATGCTAACAGTTGCTATTTTGTTCTAGTGATGACTCTCTCTGTGATGTCAATAAGAGCACGCCTTGATGTCAGAACATCTTCATCATCGCTGTCTGGGAGAGCTTCTATGGCTTTGATTGCACGGTTAGCATGTTCTCTTGCAAGCTCTTTCGTCTTTTCAATCCCGCGGCTCTTCTGTAGGTAGTCAAGAGCCTGTAATTTTATAAAGTGTAGACCGTTAAGTTACGGCAGTTACTTTTACCCAGTAGCTCATCATGCAATGTGGATATGAACCATATGATAACTATTGCAACAGTATGGCAGTTTAAGCCACTTTCCTTCAGCTTCCCAGTGAAAGATTCAAAACAAATCTTGAAGATAAGCAGCATCAGAAATTAAATGATTACTGGATTAAAATTGCAAAATCATGAAATAGGTTTATATTTGTTGAAAACCAATTCTTTTTAACATTTCCAAGTATCATGTTACCATAAATAAATATGGCTTTTATGTATAATAGTATGATGTTCATCTGCCATGTGTGAGACATTTGCAAAGGGTGTGTAAATAATTAGAGAAAGCATGTTTGTAATCCAGAGTGATTTACTCACAAGCTCAACATTTGCAGGATTGTCAAAACCCCTGTCAACAACTTCATGTAGTTGTGGGAATTCTTCCATCGCATAAAGCATAGGTGCGGTAATGATTCCCTGCATTATGAATGCCAACGAATGTCAAACAGTGTAAGCACTTCCTAAGAGAGAGAATCAGCAGTCACACGACACCATTGTAACTGGATATGCTGGTAATTACAAGTTATTAGGTAAAAAACAGAACTATGAAAATAAATGTTGATACCATATTTTACACCTAATTTCACTAGATTACTACAAGGTGCACAAAAGTATTCGTACAAGCAATAGGGTTCAGACTTCAGAATATTATTGTTATATGAGTTAACTTCTAATAGTAGTAATAAATTATATGGTTCTAGTATGTGAAAAATGATAGATAAGGCTGAAAAGAGTAAAATACCCATCGACTGAGATGCTTACACAATTAGACCAATACAAATCACTGGTGTTAATTCCAAATTAAAGCCTAAGCTATCAGGTGTGTTAAGTACTCAAGTTCAAGACAGCAGCTTACACAGTTACAAAGGGCATGACGAAGGATATGCTTATTAGTCAATTTCATTTGTATTCTACACTAAATAAACGTTCTAAATAATTGTTGAGCTCTTAATTCTATGTTTGTTGGAGGTTAAATGGATATTAAGTTGCTAAGATAAAATATAATAGGAAAATTGGGATGGCTGTTATTACATGACGGATATCAGTTAATGAACCCTTCCCAAGGGATGCAGAAGTGCCTGTGAAATCAAGAACATCGTCGATCAACTGGAAGGCTAAACCCTGCAAGGATCCCAAGTTAACTAAGTCACTGGAAGGTTCACAGCATTAGCTAAGAAAGAAATCTAGCTTCAAAAATGGGAAGGAAACTATAAGATGTTTCACAAACCAGGTTTCGACCATATTCATATGCGAGCATTGACACATCAGCAGTGTGCCCTGCAAGAATAGCGACAGCCTTGCAGCTATTTGATATCAATGATGCTGTTTTGTAGTACGTCTTCTGCAAGTAGTAATCCATACTGCAAATTGTTCGGAATCGTAATAGAACTGTCAAATGGGAGTATTTAAATACAGAAAATAAAGTACATGAATAAACAAATACTGCAAGCATTTCAAATATCATTATCTTAGATTTAGGTATTAGAGCAACTACCTTCGCCTTTGCTCTCTACTTGTGGAGATTTGCATGGTTTCACCAGTAACTAGATGTTCTACAGCAGTAGCCATTAGAGATACCACCTGAAGAAACAATGTAGAGAAATCAATTGGTGCTTTGGTAGGATACAGAACTACCAAGAAAAAAGGGCTAGCACTGCAATCACAAGAGTGAATCCAGAAATACAGTATGAGCTTGGCTAGAAAATGATGGTAAGAAATACATTCCAAGACAACACTAGGAGTTGAGCCACTATGATTCATAAGCTCAACGTGGAGGCCAAGAAACGTGCATCCCCAATAAAGCAAATGGCATGAGATCAGACCAAGTACATGGACATGAGATCACATGTGAAACAATGAGTGGAAAAGAATCAAGTAACCAGAATAGAGCATGGCCACTTAAACTTCAGCCCTTTAGACTATTACAAATAAGTATGATATTGTCTTGGAGACTATTACAAATAGATTAACAATATCCAAGTACCTCTGTGTTCCCAAGCGCTGCAAGTGCCACACATGCTCTAGACAGGAGGAAGTCACCAGCCAGAACAGAAAGCTGAAAGCATAAGAAATTAATAATTTGTGGAATACTGGTGTAAAGATAATTTAAATAGTACCATCTCCGTGAGTAATAAGTAATTGATGAACAATGATGCCCCCAGAAACTTTAAAAACATCTTCACGCTATCCTTTTGTGTGTGTATAAGGTGATGTGTGTGTTCTTGATGAGAGTATCTAATACTCACTTAGTACACTGCGTATGCAGTTCGTGTGACTTACAATACCTTGTTCCCCATAATGCAATTCAACGAACTGACGCCACGCCTAGTGTCAGCATCATCCAGTACATCATCATGTAGAAGGCTTGCAACCTGTGATAGACATCAGCTTGAAATTCTTCTTTTTTAAAAAACGTTCTGAATGGAAACTGCTCTACTAACATGAATCATTTCAGTTATCTCGGCAATATTTTGCTGTCTCGTGCGGAGCTTATTTGCCAGTATAGTTAAAACTCCCACTTCTGTTGAATCTGATAAGGGGAATTTCAGAGCTGATGCCATCAACAATAATACCTGCCAATAGAGCATACAACATTCAAAACAAATATGAATAAAGGATAATGGAAGCATGGATATTAACGAGTATACAATAAATAGCATGACTGAGATATTACCGTGGGTCTGAATCTTTTACCCTCAGCTCCCACCTTAAAAAAATACTCAGCAGCTGATGCCAGTTTGGGGACCTGCAAAAAAAAAAAGTAGTGCTCAGTCTGAAGCCTATTTAGGAACCATTGAAAATGACGATGTGATAATCACTAGGTCAATGAAGCATATGCAATCATCTTGCGATCAGCAGAGTAGACCCAAATAACCAGACATGTCTACTCAGAAGAATCAAGGTGTAACCAACCTCAGCAGCTACCATGGATCGTAGCCTATTTGCAAGAAGTGACAACTCATCAGCAACCAACTCAAATGGATCCTGCTGTTCCTGAAATCAGGGGAATTTTAAGACTTACAGACACTTAAAATGGGTGCACACCAGTAATTTTCACAATTAACTCTCATACCGAACAACAAAAAAGGTTTTTCATTGATTACCCGGTAATAGAATTAGATCAGCATGATTTTTTGTTCCTGAACAGATCATTTCATTCTAGTTTCAGACCTTTTTAGATAATAATGCATGGTTGTAAATTATCTTGTTAGGTTCGCAATGCAACATACTGATTCCATTAAAGGGTCAACATGTGTGCCTGCCTAACAAGTGTATCAATCAATTGAAAACTGAATGGGTCTTTTTTTTGGCAGCATTGCCATTTTCTATAAGTTGATTTGTAAATGAAGAAACTGCATATCTTTAATAATTGGGGTATGTAATCTTCATGATGGCCAGCACAGGCAGTGCACAAAGATTGGCATCAAACAGGTATTAATCAAACTGTATCACTAAGAAACGCTACTATGCAATAAATGAGAGCTCTAAAAAGATAATGCAAGCAATCAGGCAACCCAAATAGCGGGCCACATAGCAGAATAACATGTGGGATTCCAAAGGTATGTCACAATGGCAACAGCCCATTTTTCCCATCGGTTCTGTCGCTAGACCTAGACATATTCTGAAAATATGGTCATGTATATAGGTGGATGGCACTCGAAAGATTATTTTTGTGCCTTGGTAATAGATTATGTATGTGCAGTTTATTTATTATAATGGGGCTCCACACCTTCCTTCCCAAAAGAAAATGCACAAAAACTGAGATCATTACAAACTGAATGAGCACCCACATAAACAAATCATTGGAGAAACAAGGCTTCGCCTACCTCAGACCTTGATAACCCATCCTGGCGAACCTGGTACTGAGCATCATGTAACCATCGCGAGCTCACGAAAGTAGCTCCTCTGCAACCCACCACCTACTAATCCACACCAAAAATCACAGAACCTATCAGCACAAACAGAAGAAGAACAAATCCTCTCTAAAGTATACACGCACGGTAATCTCTCAATCTTTCCACCCCAGTCATTCCAATTTGACAACTAGCACACAGTACCTCTCTACAACTACGAGAATGATTCCGGAAGGTACACTACTACACTGGTCGCCTAGTCGGCATAAACACAAACACATTGCGGGCAGGCCAGGGAAGGGCAGCTCCGCCACCACCCACCCGCGCACCGATCGACGAGGCACGTCACAGGAAAACCACAAGAGAGAGAGCATTAGTAAATACAGGAAGAGGAGGGGACCTTGCTCCGAATCTGGTAGTGCGGCGGCGACGGCGGTGGAGGGTGCCTCCCGAGGAGGGCAGCCGCCGAGGAGAAGAGCCGCTGCGCCTGGGCGGTGGCGCCGTCCCCACCGCCGCTCGTCGCGCCCAGCGCGGCGACGCGCCGCGCGAGAGCCCACCGCCACGACATGGCTCCCGAGATCGGGGGGAGGGAGGAGGGAGGAGGCGGAGTTGAACTTGGAGAAAAAGTCTGGGAAGAAAGAAAAAAACGAAGGCGGCTTGGTTCATTCGCTCTCCGCGGGTTAGAAGGAAGGGCAGCGATGGGCCTGGCTGGCTCGCTGACACGTGGGGCCGGCGTGGGGGTGGAGCAACGTGCGTGCGCTCGGTCTGCCACGTCATGCCGTGCACCGTGCACATGAGATTTGCCCAGGCATTTTCTGATTTTCTATGGACCCACGTCGGCGTGTACACAGCGAAAACACTCCTACTCGGACACTCGACGAAAGATAAAAATATCGGGCACTCCTTGATTCTTCTCACCACTACCTCTGTCGCTCCGCGTAGCTTCATCCGCCCCCATGACCTTCGCCGCCTCCTCTAAATCCCCAACCTCTAGCCATGGCTCGTTGCCTCTTCACCTTCCTGCCCCCCCTCCCCCGGCCACTACCACCTCCGCGATGGAGGCAGCCAGGGCTTAGGGTGACCACGGAGTACAATAGCGAGGAGGACATGTGTTGCTCGCAAGGTGTATTGCAAGGTCATGGGTAGGCTCTCCAAGCTATGGTTGTTGTTCTAGAGCGACCCGAAGAGGCAAGGGGAGGAGGACCCATGGCAGATCTTCACCGCCGCCGATGGTCCGGCTCATTGCCAAGAACTTATCCGTGTTTTACAATGTCGAGACCCACAACGTGTTGCTCAGATCTAGATGGCGGTGGCCCTTCTTCTCCTCTCATGTTCTAGAAGGGTAGCATGTTCGAGGACGACGTCATCGCTTCACTGCCAAAAGCACACATGGGAGGAGATGGATGCTTGTGAATTTTTCATTGTTTTCAATCCATGCATCCGGAACTTTCGTTAGTTCGAAAAAATGTTGATGTGGGTTTTGGATGGTGTTTTATTTTTTTTGTCCTCGATTTTACTCGGATATATAGATGTTTCAATAGCTTAAAATCATTTGTTTCATCTTGTGATTCAATTGTATTTCACTGCTTTTTGAGTTAAAATATTGCTTGATTGACCACTGAAACATTTCTATATAAGGGGTGAAAAAATCAGACGCCTAATTCATAGTTGTTTCGCACAATTCGGAGTAATCGTATAGTGGACCAATATTTTATTATCCAAAGTCTTTTTGATTGCTTACTACCATTGTTGAGGAGCTTATAACAGCTATAATTTCCCGTGGGATCTCTCCAACTCTTTTAAACAATCCAAATTTTCATCTAGCTTTTGATAATCTATAAAAGAATCCAAATTTTCATCTAGCTTATGATAATCTGTAGTTACAGAATAAAATAATAGACTAGACATAAAAAACGAGGAAATACCTTTTATCAAATTCTTAGAAATTGGCTACTAACTAGTTGTTTTTAGAATTTTAAGCTCTCCAAACAACACGTATATTTAATATTTGAAATACTAAACAATTTTATGCTCTATTTATATGTCAGATTGTAAGACAAAAGGTAAAGCCTAAATCAGCATGTAGATTTTCAGCGGGCTTTTTAAAAGCTATAAGTAACATGCTCGTGGTCTCGTGGACTGAATGGTGATTGAGGATAAAACATTGGATTTGATAGCTCCTCACGTATAATATATGGGGACGCGCAACGTTTGGTGAGATGAGGGATGGAAGAAGGACGACACCACTTTTACAGTAGTATACATGACCCAATCTTGCAAGTTAAAAACTAGATTTTGAGTAGCTTTTATTTTTTTTCTTATATGGATTAGGGTTATAACTTTGTCCTTGAACGAGGCCTTGCCAAGAACTTAAAATTCATTGAAAATAGGGAATAATTTAAAATATTAATCCAATTGCCTATGGCTAAACAAATACGGAGTAGTATATAGATGGTCATGCTTTGCTTGCTTTTCACGTGGATGGTGGTGTATACCAGCGAGGTGGTGGACGAAGTCTACATTTTTTTCTTCGGTGGAGTGGAACTGGGCTTGTTGTCACCTTCCAGGCCACTTAATAAATTGCTACTTTTCCCAGACCACGAAGACCTGCGTCTGCCCACTAGTTCAAGATAGACTTTTTTATTACCAGCCCACCCATGCTTTCGCGGAAAGCTCATCTAGCCTAAAGGGCTGGCCCAGTTTGATCAAGCAAAGGCCCTCCGCTTCACCACTCCGAAGGCAAAATGAGCTAATTTTCAGTTTAAGAGTTTCCTTCTGTTAAAATTTTGAAATTTGATTTGTAGAGCGTTTTCTCACATAGAGAAAACACCCTCCAAAAACGATCAAATCCAAATGAGCTAATTTTCAGTTTAAGAGTTTCCTTGTGTACCAATAATAATAAAATTTTGAAATTTGATTTGTATGCGTTCTCACATGGAGAAAACACCCTCCAAAAAATGATCATATCCAAATGAACTAATTTTCAGTTTAAGAGTTTCCTTTTGTGTACCAATAAAATTTTGAAATTTGATCTGTAGAGCGTTTTCTCACAAAAGAGAAAATAAGAGTACTAAAATTTTGAAATTTGATCTGTAGATCGTTTTCTCAAAAAGAGAAAACAGCCTCCAAAAATTTAAAAAGAGAACACCCTCCAAAAATTTTGAAATTTGATCTGTAGAGCGTTTTCTCAAAAAGAGAAAACACCCTCCATAAATAAGAGTATGCTGCTATTTGTGGCGCGCACACGGTATTCTTTAGTAAAAGGCGAAAGAATAGTTCGCTTTGTGCCCACCACGCAGCTGCTTGAGTCTAAACCGAGCAGCTACCACCCTTTAAATACCCGAATGGCTAGCTCCCCTCCACCAAAACAAGCGGTATGGTACTAAACATTCTGATTTGCTTCGCAACATCCTCTTCTCACGTCGCGTGGGCCTTGGTACGCAAATTGAAACCAGTCCGGCCTGCAACAACTCATCCAACACCGTTCCTTTATGGGCCCAAATGTAGTGGGCCACAATACCGCTCCGGTCCAACATAATAATGGCCCATCGCTGGGAACATTTTGAACAGCCCATATAGAAGAGGAGACTAGGCCGAACCACGTGATCTGTCTCTGGCCTTGCTCCAAATTCCCCTGATTTCCTCTCGACCAATCTCCCCTATTCTGGAAGGGAACTTCTGATGCGATGGGAATGCCCCTGAACTATCGACATCGATCGAATAATCCTCTAAATTTAAAAACTAGACATCATACACCCCAACTAATAAAACCGGTTACTTAACCCCCTTAAGCAGAGTTAGGTGCGGTTTTGATTAGTTTTTGTACACATGCAGTACAGCGTTGCGAATCTTGCTGTATCAGTCCACCGTATGACACCTTGTTATTATGGCCGCTATTATATCCTAGAGGAGCGCCATACCGAGGAAGCAGACCAACACAAATCGAATACTCATTCCGTCTCTAAAAAAACAATCTAGTATTGAATGTGACACATCAATTCTAATTTTTTTTTTGGGACAGAGGCAGTATGACGGATCTAGGGGAAGCGGAGAAGGCGACGTGCGCCCTACCAATTTTTTTGGTAGTTTGAATAGTGAATGTAATGGTTTGGTTTCGAGCCAAATGAACGGTAATGCCTATGGTTAATTTGGTCAAGAACTTTCTTGACCGTAATATAACATTTGGCTTCAAATTGGAATCAATTCAAGCCCACTCATTTAAAATGCTACCATACGAAAATATTGGTAGTGCCAAAACTTATGTTTTGGCACTACCAAGTACCAATAATTTGGTAGGGCACTAAACCAAACAAGCGCGACATACCTGTTAGGGTTTTGATCCCTCATCGAGGAGTCCTATCCCACAGCGACCTTGCTCTATCACAAATGGGGATTCAGAAATCGAGAAAAGAGGAAAAAAAAGCGATGAAGAGGGAGGAAGGTGAATTGAAATGGTCTATTCTAGATGTGGTTTTTGGGATGGGCCCACCACAAAAGAGTCTGGTTTTTTTCTACCAAAGGAAAACAAACAAAGAACGCACACGCATTTTTTCTACTTCTCAGAAGACGCACACACAGACACACCTAATGACACTACTACACAAGAAGTCGATCGGTTACCATGACCAAAAAGGAAGACGACGACAACAAGAAAAACAAGCATAAATCGATTGATTATATATTTACGGGAAAACGAAATCCGAGTCACTCCAACACGTTCACGTGCACTCCTGACGTGTGTTTATTTCATGAAAAAAAATTGAATGTCACGTCGGATTTTGGACTGAGGTCAGAAGGGGTTTTTGACACGAATGAAAAAACTAATTTCATAACTCGTCTGGAAACCGCAAGACGAATTTATTAAGTTTAATTAATCCGTCATTAGTATATGTGGGTTACTATAGGTAGTGTTTGGCAAATGTCTAAGGGAAATGATTTCTCTCTTTAAATCTTAACCATTCATTCTCCCTCATCTATTTAATCCTAACCCTTCATTCATTTCCCAATCCCAATCCCACCTATCATTTCCCATTATCCAAACACACCCATAGCACTTATGGCTAATCATTAATTAATTAGTCATAAAAGATTCATCTCGCGATTTTCATGCATACTATACAATTAGTTTTTTTAATCTATATTTAATGCTTTATGCATGTGTCGAAAAATTCAATGTAACTTTTTAGACAAAAATTTTTGGGAACTAAACATTCTCTCTTTTTTCCACTAACGAAAGCAACAACGACTTCCGGTCTCTACACACCCCGGCACACTTCCCTGGCCTCTACGAGACATAGCCGATGCATACGGATCAACCTACGAATCCGTTTATACGTAAAATTAGCGAGCAACCTATAAATTGACTCACAAATTATCTATTAATTTGACCTATAGATCGATCCACTTGTATCTATCAGAACACCAAAATCCACAGGTTACCACACATTTATGATATATAAGTAGGTTCGTGGATCGATCCGGTTGCATCCCTCAAGCTACCCGGCAGGAACATACACGCAGAGAACGCAAGCAATTCATGGCGGCCATACAGATGCACGGCATTCTGCAGCATTATCCACATCCAGAGACAACTACACGTACGTACGTACGTCTGGATGTGTGTGAACGATCACGACCCTCGCCGTGCATCGCAGGGCACGAGCGCACTAGTCGACATGTAACGTTTTTTCGCCGATTTCGGATGGAGACGTTCGCCCCTATCGCGACTCATCCGTAGACTGATGCCCATTTATTAAACTTTGTCCATAACTGTTGATGTATATGTTCGAGATGCAGCTTCGTGATTAATTCCGGCTTTGTTAGAGCCATCTTCGAGCGTGTGGCCATTTTGGCTTTCTATTAGTAAATGGAGGAAATCGTCACTCCAATGAATTTGGGATGAAAACGGTCACGAAAATTTCTAACTGAAGGAGCGTCATTTTTTTAAGTGGTATCGTTTCCAGTTCTAACCACATATAAGATTTGAAATTTCTATTTTTTTTAAAAAAAATCATACAGCTGTTGCCATTGATAGTTAAATTAATAAATATGATTGATTCTTGACTAATCGGGATTTTTTTCTAATTAAAGAGATGCTACTGACATTTTGAATTTTGAAAAAAAATGTTTAAATTTAATCAATACTTGTTAAAATGTGTATTGAAAGGTAGCCAAGGGTAAAATTCATCTCTTGGAAATTTTTATCATGGAGCCAGGAAGCCGCTGCCGTCGCCCCAGCCGCAGAGCTTGTTCGTGCACTCCGCGTCGCTCTACTACCTGCACGCGCCTTGCACGTTCGTGGCCGACTCGCCCCTGCCATGCGGGCTGCTCGTGGCGGCGGCGCTCGAGCCGGCACTGGATGAGTGACTGTGCCCCGTCGACCACGTCAAGGCGCTCGGGCGTCGTTCCGCCGGATGTCGTCGGCCGAGGCGGAGGGCGACGACCTCTGCGATGTGTTCCTGGAGTAGCACGCGCATCGCGGAAGGAGGCGGTGGAGTCGGGGACAGGGAGGGTGGGGACGGCCTCCCTCGTCTCCCTCGCCGGGAGGAGCGACGGCGGCGGCGGCTTGGCGAGGAAGGGCAGTGGCGGGGTGAGGAGGAGCGGCGGCGGCGGCGGCGGCGGCGGCGAGGTAGCGGCTCGGCGAGGAAGGGTGGCGGTAGCAGCGGCGGAGCGAGGAGCGGCGGCGGCGGCGGCTCGGTGAAGAGGAGGAGGAGCGAGTAGCGACGCCCGTCAGCCCGTGGGAAGGGATAGAGAAAAAAAGAAGAAGCGAACCGTTTTTTTTAATGGAAGTGGTGGGTAATTTTTCCTCCCAAAAGTAGGTGAAAGTAGGAGGTAGATGTGCTTTTGATTTGTACTACACCAAAAACTGGCTTTGGGTAAAAACAGTTGTTGCTTTTGGGCCCTTTGGTTGGCTTTTGGCTTTTGCAAAACTAAAAGCAAATTGAAAAGCCCAACCAAACACACCCTAAGTGTCCTATAGCAAAGCGTCGAAACTAGAGTGTCATGGAGAAAATACCAAAAATCTAGAGTTTCTTAGAGCAAAATTTACCAGAAATATATATCCCGCTTGATTTTTTTAATCAAATGTTTGAAACTTGGACCCTGTCAATAATTTAATTTTAAAATGCTCACTTTGGAAACATAAAAAATGATATATGTACATTTGTATTTAAAAGTCATTTTATAATCTTAGAAACCTATCAGATTCATTCATTTATTACTCTAGTGAAAAATAAGTATTTAGTGGTGGTGTGGTTAGCAGGTCTGAACAAGGAACAGTAGAAGAGGGGAACAACAGTGATACCCTGGTGCACAGGGCAATGAGAGAGGGATATTCCGGCGACACATATCCATTGAAGGTACGATTTAACACTATTCAAAAATAAAAAAAATCAAGAATTGTACCAAAATACTGTTCTCCCTTTAAGAATCAGCAAAGATTATTCCCTCGGCCCAAACAATTTCTGTACGTCTTAGTTGCATATAATCTGGTAAATTCCCTGCATTTGAGGCTAAAAGAAGGCTTTAATTTTGTTTGCGATCAAGCAGTCAAAATTCTCTGACCGCTTCAAGCCACTTGCAAGCTCTTGCAAGGAACTTTGATTTCAGATAGCGAGAGCGGCAACAAAATCGCTCTCTTTAGCTAATCATTTTACCGAAAATGCCCATGGCACCATCCCTGTTTATGATTTTTTTTAAAAAAAACCACCCCAAATATCAACTTGAGTTTGAGATTTTCATATAATACAATTTTTTACATATACCCCCCTAATTTATCTTGATTTCATACTCCTCCCAAATTAACGATTGCCATTGTTCGTGTGTTTTTTCTTGTCTCTTTCCGATTGTGTTATATGACTTGGCACATCTTTCTTATTTTGAATAAGCCAAAAGAAAACAAGCCACTGCCGAGTCTTATGAGATAAGCGTAATAGCTCATCTTTTATCATGCCTGGTCGACATGAGTGACAATCACGTCTTCATAGTTGTGTCATCTTATGGAGTTTGCAGCCACGAAAACGAGCGACATGGCAAATAACAACTATCAGCAGAATCTCAAACCAAAATGAATTAGTAAGAAGAGTATTTGCAACAAATCGTCTAGATGGGAGGAATATCAAACTCATGGGTGATATTTGGGATGTTCTTTTAAATCTTCATATATAAAAAGTCATGGCATTGCAGAGATAAACGCCGTGAACCGAGGGTAATTTCGTGAGCTGAGGACTATAAAAACAGCAAGCGGCCTCTTCACTGGCAAAGCTGTGCTGTCTCTCGTCACTGTTTCATAGCTAGTAGGACGAAGCTGAGCTTTTCCAAGAAGAGAGGAGATCGACGATGATGGCGAGCAGGGCGTCCTTGTTGCTCCAGGTCGTCCGGACCTCGTCCCGCTCGCGCAAGGGCGAGGGCGGCGTCGTCTTCTCCGAGGTCGCGCCGTGGCAGCAGCAGCAGCCCATCTCGGCGCCCGCCGGCGCCGGCGCCGCCGGCATAGGCTCGCCGCGGCCGGCGGCGAAGCTGGACACCATCGTGGAGGAAGATCACTCCAGCATGATGATGCAAGAAGCCGCTACCGCCTTTCAGGCCGGCCCGTCTGCTGCTGCTGCTTCTTCTTCTTCTTCTTCAGCGTCGTCGTCATCGTCAGCTCCGGCGGCCATGGCTTACCGTTTCGGCGCCGCAGAAGAACATGGCCATGGCGAAGCGTTGCTGATAAGGTGAATTTTGAGAGCAGAGGCGTTGCGTGGGTTTGTGTGGCAGGCAGAGGATGATGCAGTCAGTTACTATTTACTACAACGACGGCGTCCTCTTTTTCTTCCTAAAAAATTACCGTGTCCTTTGCAGCCGTATTATTTTACTCTATATGCGTTGTAAAATGACACGATCTATCGGCTTATAATTAATTAATTAAAGTGATAATTGATGTTTCGTAGTACAGTAGTAGTACCTTTTTTCAAAGACAAGTATTTTGGTCTTTGCACGAACTAGGATGCGCACAGACATATATGTAAACATGTGCTCCTTACCATATGTATATAATGAGTAGGAGTGATTTTACGGCCTCACATATATAATGAGTAGAAGTAATTTTATGGTCTGTAAGAAGGTATTGGAAGATATCACATCTTTTTATGTAAAATTTGATGTCTCTCGATACCTTCGGTATTATGAGCTATTTCTTAGTACTTCTTAAAGACCATAAAATTTCTTGGTACTCTAAAATTTTTCATAGAGTAGTGATAGGGCAGACACATTAGTGCACAAGAGCCGGAGGAATATATCTCCTGAAACTCAAATAATATGTCAATTTACTGAGGGCTTCTCCTAAAACCTTGTACAACTTGCCTGACTATATACTCCTATATACTACTTCCTCCGATTCTGAAACTAAGAGACATGTCTCTAAATGTAATGGTCCTGAATTTTTTCTTTCAAAAAAACAAACCTCTCATCTATTAAAAACCGGAGGGAGCCAATATAACCTATAAGGTGACTAAATAAAAGGAGCGTGATATTGATAGGAGAATTTCTTTTTTTTTCATAAACCAGGGAAATTAATTCCATTTCAATAATAGGTAGAGATCAAGTACCATCAAGAACGATGAGAAACTACAAATTGCTGAGAGAGCAAGATATAGCTTGTTAATTAATTAGACGCCAATACAATGTCAGCAAACAGTCAAATGAATTAATCAATGGCATACACACACAAACGCAGCCAATTAAATCTCAACAATAGCTAGCTAGTTGGAGCAAGACGACGACGAGCCACACTCGCCGGCGCGGCCGCGATGGACACCGGCGTCCGCCGCCGCCGCCATCCTCTTCCTCCTGGTCTCCAAGAACCACTCCATCGACCTCTTCATCGACAGCTTCCCTTCGCCGCCGCCGCCGCCGCCCGCCTCCTCTTCCTCCTCCAACGCCCTCTTCGCCATTCTTATGATCGCCCTCGCCTGCCTCTCCGCCACCTCGCCATTGCCGCCGCCGCCGCCACCGATGACCACCTTCTTCTCCGGCAGAATCGCCGAGCTCTCGCTCTCGATCTCGCTGCACCGCACGTTCGGCCTCGCCATGATCGATCGAATGGACGCAATCTCTCTCTCTCTCTCGATCGATCGATAGTAGAGTAGAGTAGAGGAAGAAGAGATCTCTTTGAGAGCTAGCTATCGATGGGAGATGAGATTGACGAGGCGGATCGAGCTTTTAAAGCCGGCGATCTTTCGGCGGGAGCACGCGCACACACGCACGTGCGAGCTTGCATTATATTGTTTCGCGTGCTGGTAATAATTCGCACGCATGGAGAATTGGAGATGAGTTGCCAGTTCGGGAAAGCCGTGTCGCTGTCAGGTGGCTAAATTTGGTAAGTTAGGCTAGTTAGCTTAGCTTAGCTTAGCTAGCTAGGGATTTGCTAGCTTCGATCTGCAGATTTCATGAACAGGGCATGAGGTGCACATGGGCACGTGGCGAATTGGAGGGGAGATATGCATGTGTGTGCAGAATTATAATTAGGCGCGTGCGGCGTGCCAGAATTACTGGTGTGTTTAATTTGCTTATCCTCGTGGGGGTTTACAACTTGAGATATTCAACAAACTGGCTGGTGTCTGGTGATCGTACGTCAGTGACAGCGAGATTAATTGATGGCATCTTAGAATTAATTAATTGTTCGAGCGATCCGCATGATGTATATATGCTCGATATATATGTACTGTATTATCGTTCGGAGAGGATGGAGGGATTAGGGGTGGTGGAGGAGCCTAATTTTTTACTATCTCCGTTCCAAAATATAAGTATTTTTAACTATGAATATGGACAATTGTGTGTCCAGATTCTTAGCCAAAAATTACTATATTTTGGGACGGAGGGAGTAGCATATAAAATTTAAGGGTTTGGTAAAATATGAAGTGGGCTGAATTTTTATTCATTTTACTTAAAATTATTTGAGTGCTAATATCTTCATCTATTACCACCCCTAGGAGGATACACGCACATTGACCTATTTGGTAATGTTGTCGATTTAGGGGGTGTTTGGTTGCCGGTCACACTTGCCATATAGTTTGCCACGCCTAAGATTAGGTAGGTTTGATCACATTAGTAACTGTTTGGTTGTAGTCACAGTTGTGGCAAAATTCTTCTCTTATAAATTAGATCCCACACGTCCTTAACTCGGGAAAGTGTGGCAAGATTCTCTTAGGCTTGTTAGGTGTGGCCAAGAATTTGATTGCCTCAACTTAGGCAAGTGTGATAATATTTATTGGCAAATGGTGGCAAAGTATGGCTAGAAACCAAGCACACTCTTATTGTCCTTTTTAGCCATAACATTTCAGTTAGGTAGTTTTTTTTTTGTTGACCGTGCATTTCTATTAGAGAAATATTTCTACGATATTGACAAGCGATCGCCGATCGACTGTATAGACTGTCCTTGATGAACATAAGTTCTTTCAAATCATCAAATGCCTTCATGCACAAGCGCTTTTCTTTCTTTTCATCATGCATCGTTATCGTTTGACTTTAACCCATGCAAAATGTTCCCTTTACCACTAAAAATATGCATTAAGTACACCCTAGGCTGATAATGATCTTTTAAGGGTAAAATATATATTTTATATGAGGTTAATCAAGGTCAACTAATGGTTATGACAAAAAGGAAGAAAAAAGCTTATGCGATAGCATTTCGTAGAATTTACGTTCGTTGATGCTAATTCATAGAACCGATAGTAAAACGTAATCGAGCAGTAAAACCCAATCCTTAGTTGTTCAGATTCACTTTTAAAATTGGACTTTATCTAGAACATAGGGATACAATTGGACTTTACTCAATATAACAACTTTTTTTTACAAAGGGACAAGTGTCCAAATTTATAGCTAAAAGTTGTTATATTTTGAGGTGGAGGTAGTGATGGTCCAAATTCACAGCTAAAAGTTGACGGGTTGAATAATTTTTTATTTGACTAATAAGCACCTAGATGATAAAACAATTAGTCTAAATTGAATTAGTACAATGTCAATCGAACTTACTTAAGGGAGACGCATACAAATCGGACGTCCGATTTTTTTTTAAAAAAATCGGGCGATGTTCCACCAAGTAGATCGAAATTGTTTCACTAAGTAAATTGAAAATATTTCAATCGTTTAAAAAGCTGAAACACAATCAAATCACCTCATAAAACATTTTGCTACAACGTATAAAATAACGGTTTTTGAAGCTGTTTCACCATGTATAAAAACAATGTTTCAGCAAATAGCGAAATGATGTTTTAATTCACTGCAACATTTGATCTGTACATACTTGCCAAAACATTGTTATAGAGCGTTTTCGTAATATGTGAATGATTTGCTGCAACGGCGCATGTGGTGAGGCGTGCTGTTGGGACGGCGCGGCACCCGTCGAGCACTTGACGCGGGGCATTTCAGTTACTTAAGAGATGGCATGTCGCATTGTCGCCCCTCCTCTTGCCCATCTTGAGCCAATAAAAAACTTAGAAGGCGCACACAACAGACGTACGCTTGTCTACACACACAATGAACAGATAGAAAGACATGGGGTTTCATGTGCTCGGGGTACAAATTAAGATGATGCATCCCATTGATTACATCAATCACGCGCCCTCCTTTTTACACACGAATGATGTGGCTGAATCGAAAGATGCTTAAAACCTGGGACCAATAGTACAACAAATGACAACTTCAAGAGTAGGTAATTAGTCAGGATCTCTTCAAACGGTCCAGCTTAAAACAGGTTATTGAGCAGATTGTTATAGAAAACTTAATAAATAGTTTAAAACAAATAGTCGGAGTAATCCAATTGAATTATTTCATTTTAGAAAAGAAAGTATAGTTTTCAAAGTGCAGTGCAAATTATCCATTTCAATAATCCGTTGGTGAGTCACATGCACCCAGCAGCGAGCAAGCGCAGAGGAAGACGGAAATAAAAATGTTTCAAGTATATCAGTGAGCTTCTGGTCCTGGACATCTGTGCCGAACATCATCAAATTATTTTTACCAAACTGGCCACATTCATGCATAACGATCGACATCTGGGAACAAAGAATTCAGGGGGGGGGGGGGGGGGGGCATAATGCACCTTCATACTTAAAGAACTGCATACTTCCATCCTCAGAAAATTGCGAGAACAACTGATCAAGTATACAATTTACCACTCATCTCTAGATCACAATGAATGTAGCACTATGGTGAACACAGAATTGCCAGCTAGCTAATACATACGGACAAATTAATTCTCTGTTTGGGGGGCAAATTAATGGCAGCGCCTCTCCACTAAAACAACAGAAATGGTATGCTACACTACTGCAAAATTGCTAATTTTGGATGTCAGGTTAGTTCCTATCAAGTGATCGAGACAATCATGCTTAGCCTGAAAATCAGATAGCTAGGGATCTCTTCTTACGCGTGTTAGTTTTACTATTGTCAGATATGTTGCTCATGGATCATAATCAGTAGAGCAGCTCGAGAATCCTTATTCCAGATATTTGCTCCGCTTTATGTACATGATGTGAAAAAGAATCTTGATTTTTTTTTCTGCTAATAACCTGCAGCAAGTTTCAAACAAACTAACCAGTCAGTACAATTGGTGAGAATTCTGTCGTAGTTTAATCAATGCTAACAATTCACAGTCCAAAGAAATGAACTTGGCAGAGCTTTCTTTGAAAGAAAAATTTAACTTGGCAGTTTAAGTTTGAAATAACCTGACAAAGAAATTTTGGAACTGGTAGATGATCTATCATCACTACTAAAGTTCAAAGAACCAAACTTCACATGTGCTTTTTTTAGTTCACTAGCAAATACTCACCCCATTCAGAGATATGTGGCATTTCAGAAAACATGTTACCAGACTTCCCTAGCAAAGACTACGGGAGCATAAAAACAGAGATGCCAATATTAGATTTGTCATGACAAATCTGCTTATACTGAGTTTTAGTTTTTAACCTTTTCATTACATATATAATAAAGTTGATAGTCAAAATTGTGTGGTGAGACAATGACAATGATCAATGCATCATAGATTCAAGATTACAAAGTAACATCTGGCCTCTATATCCATGATGTGCACGGTCCATCCTGGCGTAGCTAAAGGTAACTAACTACAATCTTAATATGTTTCCAGTGAACAAGGAGTCTAAACACTTTTTTCGTGTGCCTTATAAGCTGTTCTAGTAAGCGAGACAACTCAAGATGCATGTTCTTTTGAGGTTCTACAAGAAATTCAAGCAAATAAAATAATGAAACTATAATAAAAAAGGGAACATGGTGTAAAATCTGTGATGTTTCCTTAATGGAAAATGTGGGGGGTGTGGGCTCTCCCTCTTAAAAAAGAGGGTGTAAAAAGTGCATCACACTAAAGTAAGGACGTATGAAAATTCCCTTGAAATGACAAGCATGAGAAAGGAACTCAACTAAAAAACTTTTTGACTTACGCTTGAAGTTAAAGCTAGGTAGTTTTTGTCAATTTCTTGTAGCTATAAATTAACTACGGATTAACTAGCAGTGGGAGGCTTTATCCTTGTCCGTGGCATGCTCTTCCTTCTAAGCAGAGGAGATTCCATTGAAAACACAAGCAAGCTACCATCCTTGGTTCCTGCTAGGATGCACTCTTCAGGGGTCACAGATAAAGAAGTAATGGTCTTCCCAGCTCCATCATACCTCCGGATAATGTCAAGACAATGCATAGAATGCAGAACTATTTGACCATGCTCACCAGCACAAACCAAGAACTGTCCACAACAACTAAGTTCCATGCAATTGATGCGTCCACCGGATGCTGAAGAAGCAATATGTTTTCCATTGATGGAATACATGTGCAAGGAAAGGTCACTCTCAGAATAAAATACTACCCTTCCATGCTGCGACGCCACCAATTTTGACAAACCAATGCCCGAAGGATGCCGAATGGATCGAACATATCTTCCTTCACGCAGTGTATGAAATATACAAGTTCCATCTTTTGAACCACTGATGACAATATCCAGTTCTGTGCTAACAAATAAGCATGTTATGATGTCATCATGACCACAAAAGATATGAACCGGCCTTTCCATTACAACATGATCACTTGGTCTGCCACGAAATGCATGCCAGATCATAACAGTTGTGTCATAACTTCCAGTTGCAACCACATTTCCACGAGATGAAACTGCAGCACAAAC